GCTAGCTAAATTAGAACAATTGTGACTAAAACCAGTGTGGCAAGCGTTTTCCTGCATGGACGTTTTCAGTCATCAGCGCTAGCCATTTTGCAGAAATATATAGCCAATACATTTTGTATTGAATAACAGTGTAATTTACATTATGGTTTCAGTAAGAAAACATTAACAGCTAGCGTGTGCTTGTCACATGGGTCATAACCACTGAGGTATAATAAGAAATGGAGACGTCCAAGATGTCCGCCCGTTGTTTTCAAGGTAATTTACTGCGCAAAGGTGATGACAAATGTGTCTGATTTAGGAATTTTCAAATCTGACTTCTCTATGTGGCCATCTATGAACATTTTCTTTCTGGGCCGGGCGTCAGTTAAACTGCAGTACCAAAGCAAAACTGTAGGAGCACTCAAAACCGTGCTTCTAGACTGGAACCCAAGGCCCCTGGTCGTCACTAGTTGCCACAAAGTCAGAAGGCCCGCCTACTCGACCAATCAGATGGAGTATTCCGGTTCACGGAAACGTCTCATGTTCGAAATGGCATATTTCGAGTTCAAGTTTTAGGACCAACTAACTAAATACATTTGGGAACAAGAATTGGCAACGTCACTAAAATTCATAACACTGAGAAAGGACAAAAGTTTTTGGCTAAAGGGAAAGTTGTCTTTTCTTTTTAGATAACTTGCGCTAGTTATTCTATTTGACAGGACAACATTGTTAGTTAACCTACAAGCCTTTCATTCTAATAGTAATATATCATGTTCTTGAACTGCAACAGATGCACAGCCTTTGACAAGAAATGAACTCGTTTCGGAGAATAAAAGTTTACCATTCAATGGTGTTCCCTTTCAAGTTGTGGGGGGAAAAAAAGTATTTAGTCAGCCACCAATTGTGCAAGTTCTCCCACTTAAAAAGATGAGAGAGGCCTGTAATTTTCATCATAGGTACACGTCAACTATGACAGACAAAATGAGGAGAAAAAATCCAGAAAATCACATTGTAGGATTTTTAATGAATTTATTTGCAAATGATGGTGGAAAATAAGTATTTGTAACTTTGTTTTACATTTTGTTTTTTACAGATATGTTGTTACATATACATTATTTATACACTTACATGATACTTTTATACACAGTATTACATTATTAGGAATACAGTGATATACAGTGCATTCGGAAAGTATTCAGACACTTTACTTTTTCCACATTTTGTTACGTTACAGCCTTATTCTGAAATTGATTACATTGTTTTTTCCCCCTTATCAATCTACACAAAATAGCCGATAATGACATCACATTTACATAAGTATTCAGACCCTTTACTCAGTACTTTGTTGAAGCACCTTTGGCAGCGATTACAGCCTTGAGTCTTCTTTAGTATGATGCTACAAGCTTGGCACACCTGTATTTGTGGAGTTTCTCCCATTCTTCTCTGCAGATCCTCTCAAGCTCGGTCAGGTTGGATGGGGAGCGTCGCTGCACAGCTATTTTCAGGTCTCTCCAGAGATGTTCGATTGGGTTCAATGGCTGGGCCACTAATGGACATTCAGAGACTTGTCCCGAAGCCACTCCTGCGTTGTCTTGGCTGTGTGCTTAGGGTCGTTGTCCTGTTGGAAGGTGAACCTTCAACCCAGTCTAAGGTCCTGAGCACTCTGCAGAAGGTTTTCATCAAGGATCTCTCTGTACTTTGCTCTGTTCATCTTTCCCTCGATCCTGACTAGTCTCCCAGTCCCTGCCGCTGAAAAACATCCCCACAGCATGATGCTGCCACCATCGTGATTCACCGTAGGGATGGTGCCAGGTTTCCTCCACACGTGATGCTTGGTATTCAGGCCAAAGAGTTCAATCTTGGTTTCATCAGACCAGAGAATCTTGTTTCTCATGGTCTGAAAGTCCTTTAGGTGCCTTTTGGCAAACTCCAAGTGGGCTGTCGTGCCTTTTACTGAGGAGTGGCTTCCATCTGGCCACTCTACCATAAAGGGCTGATTGGTGGAGTGCTGCAGAGATTGTTGTTCTTCTGGAAGGTTCTCCCATCTCCACAGAGGAACTCTGGAGCTCTGTCAGAGTGACCATCGGGTTCTTGGTCACCTCCCTGACCAAGGCCCTTCTCCCCCGATTGCTCAGTTTGGCCGGGCGGCCAGCTCTAGGAAGAATCTTGGTGACTCCAAACCTCTTCCGTTTAAGAATGATGGAGGCCACTGTGCTGCCGACATTTTTTTTTGGTACCCTTCCCCAAATCTGTGCCTCGACACAATCCTGTCTACAGACAATTCCTTCGACCTCGTAGCTTGTTTTTTGCTCTGACATGCACTGTCAACTGTGGGACCTTTTTATATAGACAGGTGTGTGCCTTTCCAAATCATGCCCAATCAATTGAATTTACCACAGGTGGACTCCAAGTTGTAGAAACATCTCAAGGATGATCAATGGAAACAGGATGCACCCGAGCTCAATTTCGAGTCTCATAGCAAAGGGTCTGAATACTTATGTAAATAAGGTATTTCTGCTTTTATTTTTCATAAATTTGCAAACATTTCTAAACCTGTTATCGGTTTGTCATTATGGGGTATTGTGTGTAGATTGAGGGGATCATTTTTATTTAATCCATTTTAGAATAAGGCTGTAACGTAACAAAATGTGGAAAAAGTCAAGGGGTCTGAATGGTTTCGGAATGCACTGTACATTGTAATTATCGAACATATGCGTCAAACTCTATGCGTAGACGGCTTAACAAAAATGGTAGGAGAAGGTGAATGTTCAACTTTTGTTGTAAACATATCCAGGTGATGCTGCGCACCATTTTGCGCAATGACACTGTGTGATCAAGGCGTTATCTACTTCATGTAGCTAAAATTCATGCTTCACCTATTCCTCTTTTGATTTAAAAGATACTGTTGCACAAACAACATACTGATTTGGGCATACACCATCACTGGTATCAGGCTGTTTAGCTAGCTACATTATCCTGACTCAGTACATTTATCACCGACAACGACGAGACAGCCTATAGGGAGGAGGTCAGAGACATGGCCGTGTGGTGCCAGGACAACAACCTCTCCCTCAACATGATCAAGACAAAGGAGATGATTGTGGACTTGAGGAAAAAGAAGAGGACCGAGCACATCTCCATTCTCATCGACGGGGCTGTAGTGGAGCAGGTTGAGAGCTTCAAGTTCCTTGGTGTCCACATCACCAACAAACTAACATGGTCCAAGCACACCAAGACAGTTGTGAAGAGGGCAGGACAAAACGTATTCCCCCTCAGGAGACTGAAAATATTTGGCATGGGTCCTCAGATCCTCAAAAGGTTCTACAGCTGCACCATCGAGAGCATCCTGAGTGGTTGCATCACTGCCTGGTATGGCAACTGTTCAGCCTCCGACCGCAAGGCACTACAGAGGGTAGTGCGTACTAGCGATTAGCATTAGCGGCTAACACAACTTAGCCACAACTTGCTAAAGAAAGACAAACTAGCTGGTTGCAGATGTAAGAAACACAAACTAATAGTGTAATTATAGGACACGTGTGGATTTATATTAAGAAGCAAAGTGGAAACGGCATCGTAGTCATCAACATTATTGCATGTGCTGTATTGACCATGCAGACTGAACGCAAGTGTCTCGTGGTCGAGCAACAATAAATGCGCTCCTTGAGTGATGAAGCGGGGCTAAGTCTGTGGAAAGCGGCATGATGTGAGTGGAGAGAGATGAGTAAACTATAATAATGGACGTTACACACGGCGTATCACATTTTAACAAACTAAACATAAATATACCATTTTATAGAAGGTAAAGTAAAAATCCAAACCGGTCCGTGTGTATATACACTGAACTAAAATATAAACACAATATGTAAAGTGCTGGTTTCATGAGCTGAAATAAAAGATCCCACAAATTTGTTTAGTGAGCATTTTATCCTTTATCAAGATAATCCATTCACCTGAAAGATGTGGCATATCAAGAAGTTAATTAAACTGCATGATCATTACACAGGTGCACCTTGTGCTGGGGACAATAAGGCCACTCTAAAATGTGCAGTTTTGTCCCGCAACACAATTGCAGAGATGTCTCAGGTTTTTAAGGGCGCATGCAATTTGCATGCTGAATGTAGGACTACCAACCAGAGCTGTTTCCAGAGTATTGAATGTTCGTTTCTGTACCATAAGCCACCTCCAACATCCTTTTAGAGAATTTGGCAGTATGTCCAACTGGCCTCACAACTGCAGACCACGTGTAACCATGCCAGCCCAGGACCTCCACATCCGGCTTCTTCACCTGCTGGATCGTCAGAGGGGGGAGGGCGGGGTGCTGAGAAGTGTTTGTCTGTAATAAAGCCCTTTTGTGGGGAAAAACTCATTCTGATCGGCTGGGCCTGGCTCCCCGGTGGGTGGGCTTATGCCCTCCCAGTCCCACCCATGGCTACGCCCCTGCCCTGTAATGTGAAATCCATAGATTTAGGGCCTAATTAATTAATTTCATGTGACTGATTTCCTTATATGAACTGTAACTCAGTAAAATATTTGTAATTGTTGCGTTTACTTTTGTTCAGTGTAGTAAAATACGGTTTACCGCCCAGCCCTAAGTGTTCATTGTTCAAATGTGTTTGTGTTCAATAAACATTTGGAGAAAAAAAATAGTTTACATGAAGTCAACAATCTAAGCCAACCCCGTTTGTTTTGCCCCATAGTTGCGCACACGTCGGTTTTGTTGCTAAACAACCCGTCTATATTCCCATGAGAATGTACGACTATTTGGTAGCTAGGCAGGTAAGGGACTCCCATAGGGGCAGACTGATGTCAATGGAACTGAAACTGATAACAGGAAACATGGAGTGTGTGTGTGTGTGTGTGTGTTAGGCATGGGAAAATATGTTTAGGAAAATTGGGTATGTTTTCTGCTTTTGAGCGTGCTGCTCTTTTTGCAGTCGTTTGACTTCAGCGATAACCCTCTAGGCCTCAGGATACCTTTGTGATCTGCCCAGTTTTTTTACAGCTCCATTTAGCTGTTGTGGTGGTTCAGTTGGCACTACTGGAACGTCCTGCTTTGTCCTGGTTCAGGTTTCACATAATGGTCCTCCTGTCCCTTCTCTTCCCAGCACCACCTACGTGTGTAAGCAGCTCCTGTAAGAAGGCTCCCCCGCCGGTCCCTCCGCGCACTACCTCCAAGCCCTACATCTCTGTGACGGTGCAGAGCAGCACTGAGTCGGCCCAGGACACATACCTGGACCAACAGGACCACCGCAGCGAGGCCAACAGCCAATCAGGACGCAGCAGCAACTCTTCCGACAGCCTCTACAGCCTGCGTACAGGCAGCCTGGCCAAAGGCTCTCAGCCCCCGGCCCCAGCTGCCACCCCAGCCCACGTCGCTGCCCCTGTCCCTGCCCCGAGGGACCCCCACCCACCCCCTTCCTCCAGCACCCAGTCTTTGCCCCAGGTCCAGCCCCAGAATGACACCCTAAACCCAGGCCCCAGCCTCACCCCAGACCAGTCCCTGACCCTACCAGAGCCTGTTCCCACCAAAAGGAAGCTCTCATCTATCGGCATCCAGGTGAGCCCAGGAATCAATTTTCTAAATTGGCAAGACCTGGGTTTTCAGTATGAGTGTCTGACTTACTGGAATGTGCTGCTACACAGAGGATGTGTAGAATGACTCATTCATTGTAATGGTTGACTCGTAGGTGGACTGCGTTCAGCCAATCCAGAGAGAGGATCAACTGCCTCCTTCGACCAAGTTCCAGTCTATTGGAGTGCAGGTGGAGAACGGCAGGCCGTAAGTCTCAATCAGCTGTTCAGAGCCACTTGCGTAATGGTCATTTATCATTTTCACATTGGAGACCTTGACACTTTTCAGTTACATTTCCCACACAATCTCTAAATTTAGCTGCTACACATTTGTGTTTGTGCATCTCCTGCTGTGTCAGCCATTACTTTTCCATCCATCCACACCCTCTGCAATCCCTGTTTCCTCCCTCCATCCCTCCCTCCCTCTTGGCATGGCTTCAGCATGTTTGCTCCAGGCAGTTGCCAAGGTCACTTAGCAGTCACACTGTGAGTTAGCGCTGGCAGACAGTAGCAGCATTAGTGTAGCGTCTCTCTTTCTGATTGATGGCCTGTTTCTCTTATTTTGGCCACAGTGGAGGAGGCAGAGTGCTGTGAAGAACTGGCCATTTAAATAGCCTAGTGCAGAGTAATTCCCCCTAATCACATGTAAGTCGCTCTGGATAAGAGCGTCTACTAAATGACTAAAATATAAATGTAATTGGTTGGACTCTGCTGTTCTTCTCCCTATCGCTTAAAGCTGTAATCCATCTGCCTTTTTTATCTTGTCCTCTCTCTCCCCGTCCATCTCTCGCATTCTCTCTTTCTCGCATGCTCTCTCGTCTTGCCGTCTCTGCATTTACTGGAAAGGCAAAGAGACAGGCAATGTGCTTTCAGCTCCCCTCATCTATCAGTCAAACTCCACTTCATAATGATGTCTTACTGTGTATGCCTGTCGTTGGGAGAGGAAGTCTGACCTAGGTATTGGCTTCATAACTGTCCTTGGTCTATTTATTTATTATGTTACTATTTATTTGGGATACAGAGGAACAGCCTGTTTAAAGTGTGTGCGTGTGACTCAGACCTAGATTCAATCAGATCAAGCATAAACAGGCAATATCCGGCACCCGCATAGACACCGCCAAAACATCAGCTGAGGTGTAACTGCATTGGAACTGTCAAATTGGCGAGCAGCTGCTCTTGTGATCATTGTCACGAAGCCATGCCTGTCCCACTGGCGTTAGAAGTTCAGAAGCAGAAAAATTAGGCAACATAGAAATATAGTTCCACCTCAGATACCGGCAAAACAACCGCTATGCGAATGTCGGCTAGTGCGGATCTGATAGAATCAAGCCCTCAGTGTTCCAGTAATCTCTGGAACACAGTGCGGTCAGAGGTAGCGCAGTGATGTGTTGGTCGTCAGGCCCCAAGGTCGACCTTTTCTACATCCACAGTAAATGATCTCCAACCTGCACCAATACTAATCCGTGTGTGTCCGTCCAGACTCAGCCGGGCCAGCAGCATGGCCTCCAGACAAGACACAGAGACAGAGCCTCAGGACTCTAAACAAGACGCCCCTCCCTCAGAAAACAACAATACAGTCAACCGCAACAGCCAGCCGCTAGACCCCGCCCCCGCTGCTTCCAACGGTAAGGAGCATGCGGTGGTGCGGCAGCCCCCTAAACATCCCCCTGTCCCGGCTAGAGCATCCGCCTCCCTCCCAGAGAGCCTGGACCCGGCCCTGGATCCCTCCTTCCTGCCCCCTCCGGACCCCAGCTTGGAGAGTGGAAACGGCAGTGCCCAGGGAGATGCGGCCACGCCCACCTGCCTCCGGAACGGCAACTGGTTTCTCAAACTTCTACAGGCTGAGACGGCACGCATGGAGGGCTGGTGTCAACAGATGGAGCAGGAGACCAAAGACAAGGACATCTCAGAGGAGGGTACGAGACAGACAGTACACCATACTCACTCTAACTAGCTAAATGTATACGAGACATACTATACTCACTCTGATAGGAATACAGAGGTTTTCAGAGAGTAAGAGAGTTTATCATACTCACTGTATAGAGTAGACCATATCAGTTCAATAGCAGTATTTGACTGAAGGAAATTAGAGAATCTTTTATCAGTTCTCTAACGTGGATTTGGCATTGAAATTATGACGTCCTCCTTGTCCCTGAAACCCAAAGACAACAGACAGTCCTTATCTGCTCCTGTCTACTGTGGGGATTGGAGATGACAGGGCAGGACATGCTAATGGTTAGCGGCTAACACTGCTCATTACCTAGTGGACCGGATCTTCCCTTCAGTCTTCTAGAGCTACTGCAGACATTCATTTCATGTCTTTGATCTGTCTCAGGCAGGCAGATAGATAATATACCTCCGCCTGCGTTGCAGGGATTTAATGAATGTGTAATGAACACAATTGACTCCCACATCAGATTATTAATCAGCTCTTTTCTCAGTGGACCTGTACTGTATGGATTTACTTTATTATGCAATTGTTAAGACTGGTTTAACAGTGTATAAAGTCCTTTAAAAAAGTATATTTATTCTAAGGATTAAGTGTGTCACCAGCAATGTAAATTCCACGCTGAATGAAAATGGTCATAGAGGACCAGGATTAATGTCACATAATCATACAATTTTTAACAGCATTTTACAGATAAACTACATTAATTCACTAAATATTGGTCTCTGTGCCCATTTTGAAGAATGTTTAACTACAGTACCTGCATGTTGTTGAGGTTGTGATGGCTGACTGGCTGTTATGTGTGTAGTGATGGGGACGGTCCGCAGTGCAGTGGGCAGTGCCCAGCTCCTCATAGCCCAGAAGTTCCAACAGTTCAGAGGACTCTGTGACGAGAACCTGGTGAGTGGCACTAACCCTTCAAAATCCCTGTTAATCTGGCACATTTCAGTACACTGTTTTGAGTCTCGGCATGCAAAGGTTGAGTTGTTTAAGAGCTTCCCCTGGTGTCAAAATACATGCATACCAAAGGGAGGCATTCGTCTGCTAGGCAATGAGGCAACACACACCCATCTCTGTTATGAATTACTCATATTGGTGCTAAATCTTCCTGAAAGTGAATAATGTTATGATTTAATTTGTGATTTAGTTAAGTGTTATACACCTACCAGTGCCTAGCCCACATGGGCTTACAATACACTACTAAACACCATACCATTTTCCTTGTACTCAAAATATATTTGTTTACAAATTATATGCATATACAATAATCAGGGCAAGTACCGATACCATCTAGCCACACTACACAAGCGGTACATTTCTCCTCCTCCAGTTATGTAATGTCAATGTGTCTAGACAAGCCAATCAGCACTTCACATTTTAAACCAGCGCTGTCCTTCTTCCTGTCTGTTAGAATGTGAATGCCAACCCTCAGCCCACAGCTCAGGACCTGGCAGGGTTCTGGGACCTGCTGCAGCTCTCTGTAGAGGACATCAGTGTCAAGTTTGATGAGCTCTGGCAACTCAAGGCCAACAACTGGCAGCTGCCGGAGAAGAAGGTATTGGAATCACGCCACATTTCACCTCAATAGATCCTGTTTACATCCTAACAGATATTCTTAATGGGTTTGCATTGTTTGCTTTGCAACGTCTCTTCATCCTAGTCTCATCCTCAGGAAGAGAAGAAGTCTGCACCCCCCTTTGTGCCAAAGAAGACATCCAAGCCCAAGCTGAGCCCTGGGAAGGACCGGAGCATAGACTCGGCGATGGACAAGCAGCGGCAGGAGGCCAGGAAACGCCTGATGGCGGCCAAGCGTGCGGCGTCCGTACGACAGAACTCTGCCACGGAAAGCTCAGACAGCATTGAGATCTACGTCCCTGAGGCCCAGACACGCCTCTGAGAACGGACCACCATTGGCACCCTGCTCCCCCCCATTAAGGAACAGCCACACACACACACACACTAGCAAACACGCAGACACCGTGCTCCCCATGAAGGAACAGCCTCAAACACATTAGAGAAACACCCAGGGGCGCAGAGGTCGGTCCCCTAATGGCAACGCAGCATCTGACAGGAGGAGAGCACAGGACCGCAAAAAATGCAGAACAATGCAAAACTATTTCCTTCCTGGCTGCCATGGAGACAGAGACCTGAACAGACATTTAGTACTATTGTTATTAATATTATAATAAGTATTGTTTTCTGCTCAAATATATCAAGACTGTCTTAAATGTGCAAGTATCTTGGATAAAAGGACATCCTTATTCCTTGTGAGCTAAAGAATCTTGGTATCCCAGAAGTTTACTCTCTTTTCACCCCCTCACTACTTCTGAGTCTGTGAGCTGGGCTGGTCTAGTCCAGTCAGCCTCTCTCGTTTACGAGCTACGTACCACCACACTCAGGATACACACAGATGTACTCACTCACGGTCCACACACACAGTCTTCCTCTTCTCTCTTTGTATTAGGCTGCCACTGCATTGGTTGTGGACGGTAAGCTTTACTGTGTATGGAATTAAATCTATATGAGATGATGGTGTTGTCGTGTACAGAGGTAGAACACAGTCAGAAGACCAGAGGAAGACCGTAGCATTATACCCATCTCACAGTCTGGTTATTAGTAGGATGGGTCTTTTTTTTAAATGTTCTTTACCAGATTGTTTGTTAGACAAGGTCCAGTGTTCAGTACTAAGTTATTATTTTTTATAGAACAAGTACATGTACGGTCATGAAGATATTCTCACATGATGCAATCATTAACTCTCACTCATAAACACACACTATGCTGTGTGTTTTAAGTCTTATATGCCCTTTTGGAAGAGATATTACTATGGCCAGTTGATGTGTGCTACAGTAGGAATGTAAAATGCATTGAAGAATAACTTGACTGCACCTTCCACTCCATCTGTTTACCCAGATCAAGTTAGCTCCCTTCTGTTTCCCTGTTTATTGTCTACATATTTGGTGCAGGGGACCATGAGATACACGTCTATTTATTACATTCCTAGTTTCCCACTCAACCTTTGTGGACTCTCGGCAGCATCGCTCCCATTTGAATCAGAAAGAGGAATCAACAATAAGCTCCCTTTCTTGCCTCATTACAGACTGGTTTATTTTCACCTGCATAGGCCAGTGCTCTGCCAGTGGTTTCGTGAGACAACTAGTATAAGCAATAAGTAAAATGGGACATTTGAGATGGCACCGTAAAAATTATTCTGATGCCCAGTCAAAAAAACAACCCCTAGCCCCCAAACGTTCAGTGTTTTCAGACCTGAAGCGATAGGTGAAAGCCAAACAATATGTAATGACTCTACCTTGTCATACAATGTGCTTTGAGGAGCTTCCACTATATTGCTTCCTCCAGTCTAATGCTTAGGCTAGGAGTTGTTTTCTGACTGGGCTGAGTTTTCTCAGGTTGAGCGCTCAGTCACTTAACACACCAAAAGTCAAACCATAACAGCACTTTGGTCATCATACCCCATTACTAACCACTACTTGATTGGTCAAAGCCTTAACACAAACTGTCAAATTAATAATGATCCAAAAGTATGAAAACATACCATGCATTATAAAGAAATGCATTTGCATAAGTATCACTCATCTGTGCATTCAAAATGTCAGAATAAAAATATTGGTGTCAAGTACTATTCCTGTTTTGTTGACGCGTTTCAGACTATGCTCAAGCTGAATTCTTTTAGTCATATTATAGTGTGTCAGCTTGACCTTTCATTCCTGTATACAGAAAAATGCACATTGAGGAGATTTTGTATGAGACATTTTCTGTGACCTGTTTGAATTGATCATGTTTTGACCTGTGCCACAGTGGTTATATTGGTATTTTTCTGGGTTTGGAGAGAATTGATGGTACTGCACAGGATTGACCATTGTACTGAGATGGTGTGGAGTTTTTCAGCATCACTGAAAAACAGGCTTATTCCCACTATCATGACTACAACATGCATGTAAATGAGCTTTCAGCTTTGCATTTCTCGTAACATGAAAGTTATTTTTCTCAAATTAATTGTAATGTTCCACTCATTCACTGAATTCCAAATCAACCCCCTAACCTAGGCACTCCTGTAGATATGAAATTATTGGATAGGTTGTAAACAATATGGTGCAAGAAATTCCACCCAGTCTAACATAAGCAAAGAACCTCTGATCAGAAGGTAATGTGATGTTATGCATAAACCTATGTGAGGGATTGATTTTGGAATTTAGAAATGGATGATCTGCAACAAGGATCTGCAATTTCAGGATCGCAGTACTACTTGTTCCCTTGAAGCGCTGGTTCTCCCCCCCCCTAAATGGTCAACACCTTCGTCACATGGCTGCCCCCAAAGTGTTGATCTGATCCACAGTCCGTTTTGTATTTTTAGATCTTAATGTCAAAGAATAGAGGGAATTAGTAGAACTGGGAAAGCAGCTGATGCGGTACCAGGATGTTAATTTTGATTATTTGTAATACATCAACTACGGACATGTACATTTCATTGTCCAAAGAAATCATTAAACATCCCTTTTGTTACAGTACATTTCCTTGTCACCATCATTATGCTGTTCTATTATACTCATTGCTATATGTAATATTAGCTCAGATGTTAATATTACAGATGATCGCTGTCTTCAACAATAGTTAGCTGTATGTTATACCCTAAAAGCATGAACCATCTCTCTTTGAATGACCATCCTCATAGCTCAGAACAAGAGTCATGCAAAGATCCTATTGAGATCACAGTACCAATCACAATCTGTTTTCTGTCAGGGGATGGAGACTAGGCTGTATTCTGTCTCATTGTGTCATTCAGGGTTGGTGAATTGGTCTTAGTCAATTGCAAAGATCTGTCTTTAACACATTTCACCATATTGATTGAAGGTATAATTGAAAGTTAAATCTTAGACTAAGATTTCATTTTATAATTATCTTTAATCAGTACAGTGAAATGTGTTAAAGACAGATTTTTGCAATGCAATGGCATAGCATAGGTTTCAGAATTTAGATCTGTTTCTAGATTAGATTCCTTCATAATCAGGAGCCTGGAAGGATGGAACCCTTTAGGCCCACACTACTTCAAGAGAACATGGCCTGACCAGGGATCTTCAGGCAGTTTGTATACTTCTTGAGATATAAAGGGCTATAATGGACACATGAAGGGCCAACCCCTGATGGCATATATCCTGTTGAGACTGGACGATGAAAAACTCTTCAGTCATCTGGCTTGGATTGTTAGAACTGATGATCTTGATTGTATCCTTAACGTCAATAACATTTTGCCATGAATCTCTTTCAGGGTAATGATGGGACACTAACAAAATCCCCTACTATATAATCTATTCTACATAGATTAACTTTTCTATGGACAGAAACACCCTATAATCTAATTTACCTGACTGTAGATATACCTCCTTAGACTTGTCACTTGTGATTAAACTATCCCCATTAACCAACTCCTCTTTGAGAGATGCAAATAGTGAAACATACATAAATAAATTAGATATAGAGGACCATTTAGATACTACTGGTCATTATTTTACAAATCAAGCACATATTATATTCTACTGATAAGGGGTTGTTCATATGGTATACTAGTTAGACACTGTGAGGGTTGTTTCTTTTGAAAGAATAAAGAATTGTGATTACCATTAAAATATGTGGATATCCATTTTCAGTGTGTGAATAGTGTAAATACAGAGTAGCAAAACTTATCATAGAGCACCTCCTATTGGCGTCTAGATGGTAGGCCTATTGACCTCAGACAAACAAACCAATGCCGTGTTCAAGTCCTGTCGGAAATTTAGGACCTCCGAGTTAAAGGGAGAATCTCAATTGCATACTCCTGGAGTCATTTCTTCTCGCCACCTCAAAACCCATTGGATGCGAAAGCCAGAGGTCCCTCCCGTTTGGCCTTCTCCAATGGGTGATGAGAAGGAGACAAGGAGAGAGGACGCAAGGATTATGCAATTGAGATTCTCCCAAACTGAACGTAAGTTATTTGGTAGAGCTTCCTATTGGTTGATTCTGTTACGGCTTCACATGCTCGTGGGAAATAGGAAACTGGGAAGTGGTAAGTTCAACATGATTGTGTTCAAGTGCCTTTGAAGTCGGAACAATTCTTCAACCAATAAGATTTTAGCTAACTTGATAAGCTTGCTAACATTGCTAATAATAAAGTTACCTAGGTTGCTAAACATTAACAATATGGTCGGAATAGCTACATTATCCATATTGTTAAGGTTGTAATTGTAAAAAACTGATTTGTTGTCATCTTTTGGTTGAAAAGGCAAAAGGTCAGTGGTGAAACGACAACTCGGGTAACAACATTTTCTTTGAGTTTGTCACTTGTAATTCTGACTTGGAGGGTCATTCAAGTGAAATTTCCCACTGGGAACTAGGAGCTTCCCATAACTCAGATAGCACTTGAACATGGCATCTTTCTACAACGAGTAAGTCGGAATTCTTCCAACATGACGTGAACGCAGCAACACCAATTTTAGATATACGAATAAATGTATGTGTGGTCCTCTGTAGCTCAGCTGGTAGAGCACGGCGCTTGTAACGCCAAGGTAGTGGGTTCGATCCCCGGGACCACCCATACACAAAAATGTATGCACGCACGACTGTAAGTCGCTTTGGATAAAAGCGTCTGCTAAATGGCATATTATTATTTATTATTACATAAAACAGAGCGTTAAGCCTCATTTCTAAATAGAGACCATATAACCATTCCTGCAACAAACATTGTTAGAAATGGGTGTAATTGACTAATCTCTACCTCTTCTCTGCAACGGCACACGTGTATGAGTTTGAGTGAGCGACAGGGAGAATGAGCAAGAGAGAAATGGTAGGAACTTTACATGACTCACCAAGGGAAGTGTCTGTTGAATCAGGACACAAGGGTTTTGCACCTGAAAAAAAAGGTGAGTTAAAATAAGATTTCCTTTGCTTTACAAACATATATTATTAGAAGCGGTGCTATTTCAA